AGAAATCCCCAGAGGGCTCCCAGACTGTGAGAAGGTACAGGCCAGGTTGAGGGATGCCCCTCGCTGAGTGCACAAATCGCATGCACTGGGCCTCTAGTATAAAATAATTTTGTCCAAAGCAAAGATGCCAAAAATGGGTGTGAATTTCATACTCCCAAAGGAGGAATCAAAACATAAAGTATATTCAACTCTCCCTCTATAACAAAATAGACAAGTTTCTTTATCATAAGCATGCCAAATGCATGTTTGCTGTTAAATGAAAAGGGTGGTATTTTTTTTTTTTTGTCAGAAATTGACAGTGTTGGGTGTTATGAATATCTGCAAGTCCTACAAGGGAAAAGAATATTTATTTTTTAATCCTTAACGGAGGACATTTTTCCATTGATTTTTAGAGAGAGTGGAAGAAAGGCAAATACAAAGAGAAACACTGATGTAAGAGAAAGACATCGATTGGTTGCCTCCTGCATGAGCCATGACTAGGGCCTGAGCTTGGAAGGAGTTTGCAAATAAGGTACATGCCGTTGGTCAGAATTGAACCAGTGACCCTTCAATCTGCAGGCCTATGCTCTAACCAAACCAGCTAGGGCTGGAAGAGAATGTTTATTCTACCAAATCTAAAAGTGCTTTAGGACTTATTTTTTAAAGATTAACTAAAAGCAGAGCACTGAATCTGTGATTTTCTGAGTTCAATATATGTTTAAAGAGTTATTCATATTTTTTTTCACATTTCAAAAATAATACAAATTCTCTTTTGAGAGTCAAAGAAAGGGAATCTGTGCAATATATGGGAATGGTTGTTTTTGTTGAGTTGTACCATACAATATACTATCTCCATTGGTTCAGAGTCATGACTTTTACTGGAAACCCAGATAAATATTTTTTAGAGGAAGGAATACAAATAGAAGTTAGCCTTCAGTCAAATGAAATAGTTTAGGGTTCTTGAATGTAGAAGAAGCATGTTTTTTTTTTCTTTTTAGTTCTTGTTTTTTTGAGGACATACTTTCCTCCTCTCTTATAGTGTTAGGTAGCAAACATCTTTCATGGGCTTCCACTTCTGTGCATTGTACACCTTCTATTCTCATTGATATAGAATTGAAAATGAAAGATTAGAAGGCAAACAGAGACATTCCAAGCATCCACAAGTCAATAGCTTTCACCTGACTCCAAAGCTAACCTTTACCCACCTCTATCAGAACATGCATATAAGGCCATTCATGCACTGAATCTGGAACATGATTATGAAAATATACTATGCACTTTTTACTTCACCTATCGTTCTAATTTATCTAAACACTCAATATGCCAAATGCATTCCCACTTGTCATTGCCCATCAAGCTTATTTCTATTTCTCATTTTAATACCTGAAATCTAGAATGATAATTCTCTAGTCTTCCTGATTAGAAGTCCAAGTTATCCTTGATCACTCTCTTTCTCTCTAAACTTAACATAAATTCCAACAACCCCATCAATTTTACTTCAATCACAATCCAATCTGATTTCTCTCTCTCTCTCATACCACTCACCTAGGTTAGATCAAAATGGGGCTTAATTTAGAATGCTTGCACCAACCTACAGACCTCAAATCAAAGGCAGTTCTGAGTTGCCAAGCTGACAAAGCAAGACACAAAGGCAGGCAAATACTGTGACAACTAATTACATGGTCCCTCGTGATGAAACTGTAGGGTCAGGAGTGCCTTGCTTAGTTCAAAACCCCTCCTGATGACTTGCTGTCAGAGAAATTTATGAAGACCAGGACCCTGACCTGTGTTTCTTTCTAAGTAAATCTTATGTGTTTTTTCCTCTTCATATAACTTTTTAAGGAAAAACCTCATGCATCTCCTAAAATAACACCCTGAGTTGATCCAGAAAAAGCACTATTTCATATTATTGTACAGTTTTCATGTATAAATCAATATGCCTTTCTCTTCCTAGAATCTGTTCTGTTTTACATTTTAAAATGATGAAATGGGGTATGAAAAGGTATTCTTAATTTTTAGCTGTTAAGTATTTAGTCCACAAAAATGCTTGGCTCTCAGTCCTATGACCAGTAAGTTAAAAGAAGAATTTAACAATTATAGTATGGTACACTTATCGTTCTGAATCTGAATCTCTTTTTGCCTTGGGAAGAGATTTGCACTTCTAAAATATATGGTTACAATTTGACATTCTCCAAAGAAAACAAGTGATATCACCAGTAATTCAGTTCAATCAGAACTTCATAAATAAGAAAATAAAAATCATTAAGCTCATGCTAGGTTTTATAATGGAACATTCTAAGAAAACTGAATGGTTCTATTTTGGTTCAAGTTTCAGAGTAATTGAGAGTTAATAAAAGAACCTCTTTTTCTTTCACCCATGACCACTGAGAACCTTCCCAAAATTCCATCACTCTCCTTTGTGGAATATTTCTACTGTAAGGTAATCATCTCCATTCACAAGTGAAAAACTCAAATAGTCTCAATGTAGGCATTACAAAATCTGGGTATGTTGATTTTGAAACTATAAATTTTTAAATAATTAAAAAATTTAATATCTCAAATTAATTTAATCTCATTCAATTCTTTTATATTAATATGCAATGACTACTAAATTTCTCTAACCTAGCATCAAAAGTATTAAACATATTATTTCTCACAATTTTCTTATTTTAAGAAAAAATAACCTTATTTTTCCCCTGTAGTTAGCATACTAATAAAAAGTATCAGGGCTGATATTTATAGAAATACCAGGAATTGAAATGTAGCAATAGGATACACCTTGGTGAAACTATAGGTATGACAGATGGAGCAAACAGTGACTAATTAGGTGTTCAGTCCTCCAATGTGATTCCACAACATGTGGGCTATGTGTTTTGTTTTGTTTTTTAAATATATTTTTATTGATTTCAAATAGGAAAGGAGAGGGAGAGAGAGGTATAAACATCAATGATGAGAGAGAATCATTGATCAGCTGCCTCCTGCACACGCCCTACTGTGGATCAAGGCTGTAACCCGGGCATGTGCCCTTGACAAGAATCGAACCCAGGGCCCTTCAGTCCGCAGGCAGACACTCTATCCACTAAGCCAAACCAGTTAGTACAGGGCTATGCTTTAAAAAAAAAAAAAAGATATTTAACAGTTGTCTCAAAAGAAATATTAGATATGATTAATATATAACAATCAAAACTATAGATAGTATCTTACTATCTATTCTTTGACATAACCAGTCTTCTGATTTAGAATGGCATTTTTAAAACATGAAAAAATAAATGAGAATTATCAGCAATGTATACACGTGAAGACAATTACTCAACTTTCTGAAAATTCCTACATGTAAATCTTTTGCACAAAATAATGGATATTAATAAATTAATAACGAAAACAATACCTAGCCTTGATTAAATACCTGTTATTATTGAGGGCTACATCCAGCAACTTGCATATTATCATTTCTCATAGTTATTACAATTATATAATGCATTTTAACTCTATTCACAGATAAAGAAATCAGAAAGGTATTAATCTAAGGTAAAAAGAACAAATTGATGTTGTAGACCTACTACTTTCACTGTCTAATTATGGTGTCTTCTCTTTCTGTTAGATGGTAGTGACCCTTTAGGACAGGTGCACAGTTCACAGTACTACATCTATTAATGCAAATCTTTTGTTTTAAATCAGAAAGTTTTTGAAAAAATTTCAGGTTATATTCATTTTACACTTATTTTAAAATTTATGAGTCAATGAGACTAGCATATTAAAGGAAGCTGGTGATTTGAAAATCAATATAATAACTAGGTAACAACTCAATAAAGAAGATAGGTAATTGCTCAATTAAGATTATTTATATCCTTGAAATCTTCCTATGGGAAATTTACATTACCTTTTTAATTCAGAGAATTGGCTTGGCAAAAGTAAGTATAGTCTTTTTGAGATTTGGTTTAAAACATAGATTCCCAATTTTCCTTTCTTCCCCATACAGGAAACTTTTATACCCAAGGAGATATTCTTAGGTATAAACTTGGGTATAAAAGTTTCCTGTATGGGGATTACTTTCAGATTTGCTTAAAACAAACATAAATAGAAAATCTTCTTGTGCCATAATTTACTTTGATTTTAGTGCTCCAGACTATATTGAAGTAAAATTCAACAAAAGCATTCAACTCAATGTCTCATCCACATGTAACAAGCTTTAGAAAACAGACCTTCAAGTCAAATAGCATACTTATTTTCAAATATACCAATCACACTACTCTTAAAACAAAATATAACTCTTTGACATGTCAATATAACTATTATAAATGTTTTAAGTGATATTAATAAAGCATAATTTAGATACTTCTAGAAAGCAAATATTTTCAAATATTTTCAAATTTTAATATAAGCTAGAAAAATTACAGTTTTAATGTTAAACTTTTAAAAGAAATAATAAATAAACATATTGGGGATACAAAAATGCACTGGAATAAAACAATGCATATAACTTACATTTCTATATGCATTTTTTATTTTTTAAAAAACTTTTAAGGTTTTTATTGATTTTTAGAGAGAGGAAGGGAGAAGATGAGAAAGAAAAAAAAATCACTGTCAGAGGGAAACATCGGTCAGCTGCCTCCTACATGCCCCCTACCAGGGATGGAGCCATGCCTGGGCATGTGCCCTAACCAGGAATCAAGCCGGCAACCTTTAGGTGCATGGGATGATGCCCAACCAACTAAGCCATACTGGCCAGAGCACTATATTTATTTCAAAAAAAGAAAGCCATATTTCATGTTTTATAAATACAAGGGTAGGCAAAGGAAGTTTAGAGTTGTGATTAGGCAAAACACAGGGGTTTATTCTTATATTACTGTATTATTTTCATACAAACAACCATAAATCTACTTTTGCCTGTATAAACCTCTTTTGCTGCCTCCACATTATACAAGAGCACATAACAATTACATTCTCTTAATTGATTAGAGAATTGTTTTCATCATTTGTTAACATTACAATGAATATTAAGCCTTGTCAGAGACGCCTACCTCTGTAGTAGAAGTCTTTGGACATGTCTACGGGAGCCCGTTCTACTGCTGATCTCTTGTAGACAACATGGATCCTTCCCTTTTCTTCCTCCATCTGCTTACCTCTCTCCAAGGGTTCAATGAAATACTCATCATCATGACTTTTTATCATTCCAGCCTAGAGAAAGCATAAAATGTATTAATTTCTTAAATAAATTACCTCATGAATAAGTACCTTTTCTAAATTGTAAAATTTTAATTTGTGAAAAGTAATGCTTTTTATTTCCACTTCTGGCTATAAATTTAAAATTGTTTAAAGTATTATGAGATATCAGTAATTCAGATGAGGTATAAATTCATGTATGACAGGACTAAAAAAATTACTTAAGATAGAGTAAGGATTTTAAATATGGTAAGAATAAGAAAATCATACAAAGTATACATTTCATCAAACTACAAAAGAAGTGCATTTATATATTCTACTTGGTATTTTATCTCTAAAAGAAATCTTATGGAGCAAATAAACCCCAGAAACACTTCTAGTTTCCTATAACAACGCACTATGGACCTTCTGTACATGCCTGTTGCCCTTTTTTTTTAAACTCATTTACATCTCACTTCCATACTACTATGCTATGAGAAGAAAAAGTCCCATAGTGCCCTCAGTACATAAACTTATTTCGGCCTGTTATTAGATTTTTACAATTCATTGAAAACTTCAAGTTTCTATTTTTAGTAAGTTGGAAAACTAGTTCACATTTGTTCTATCTTAATCTAATATCATGATTTTTATATATTGCTTTCCTTCTCAAGTTTCATCCTTTTACAATGAAAAGATTATTCTTACATTTAAATCTTTCCGCCTCTTTTTTTAGTGTCTCTTTCTGTTTCATCTTCTTTAGAAAATGAATGCTTATTTAGAAAACTCCAGGACTATATTCAGTATGATAGAAGAAGAGAAATGATGGTTTTGTTTGAAATTTGTTCTTAAGTATCAAGTCTACATTACAGTCAAATAGTTACATTTATCTACTTTAAAGGTCATATATTAATATGTATATTAATTTCAATTTCAGTATATTTGAAAACAATTTAGTTGAAAAAACAACATTTTAATGTGGAAATAGTAAATATTTCAAAAAATATATCAGATCAAAAAGTTAGTCATATTTTTCTTCTCAGTCCCTAAATTTATTCTATATTTTCACAGGTCACTGGCCTTTATGGAACATGATGGGGGAGGGGAATTTCTCATCCTTTCTAATTCATGTTGGTCAAATGTCTCTACAACTTGGGTGTCAAGCAAAAGAGAAATGAAAGGTAGGTACACCTTTCCAAATAGCATTTGTTCTCAGTAAATACAGCTCTGACTGTAGTTTTTCTACTGTAATCAAATCTGTACCCTCACTCCTTTCTATTTGGACTTCTATGACTAACTACATACATGCTAAGCCTCACAGAAAAGTCTAATAGCTATAGTGTCTCCAGATGCTAATTCTATACCTACCTAGATGCTGTGCACATATAAACAGCCCTTGAACCTATGGGGCAATATCTTACAAAAGCATCACCAGAGGCCTTTCACCACACTTAGTATTTACTATCTTAAATTCTGACTGTAACTTAAAAGAAAATTGACCTGAGGACTATTATGCTGAGTGAAATAAGCCAGCTAAAAAAAAAAACAAATATCACATGATCTCACTTATATGTGGAATCTAATGAACAAAATAAACTAACAAACAAAATAAGCTCAGAGGTATGGATGCATGGATCTTCTATTTCCACTTTCTTTTTTTCCCCATTTTATTTTTCTGTTATTTTATTGTTTAAAGTATTACAAATAGTAGTACATATGTCTCCTTTTCTTTTTCCCCAGTGACCTTCCCCCGACCTCTCCTACCTCCTCCCTCCCATATATGCCCCTACTCCCCCCCTAAACCCCAGTATCTGGTGTCCATTGGTTATGCTTATATGCATGCATACAAGTCTTTACCTGCCCCCCGCCACCTTCCCAGTGTCCCCACTGTAGTTTAAATGCCTGTTTTATGTTTCTCTGCTTCTGTATCTATTTTTGTTCATCAGTTTATAATGTTCTTTATTATCCATAAGTGGGTGAGATCATGTTGTATTTTTCTTTCACTGACTGGCTTATTTCACTTAGCATAATGCTCTCCAGTTCATCCATGCTGCTGCAAATGGTAAGAATTTCTTCTTTTTTTATAGCAGTATAGTATTCCATTATGTAGATGTACCATAGTTTTCTAACCCACTCATCTGCTGATGGCATTTAGGCTGTTTCCAAATCTTAGCTATTGTAAATTGTGCTCTTATGAACATAGGGGTGCATATATCCTTTCTAATTGATGTTTCTGTTTTCTTGGGATATATTCCTGGAAGTGATATTACTGGGTCAAATGGCAGAAATCAATAAATGTGATACACCACATAAACAGAGAGATAAAAACCATGTAATCATATAAATTGATGTAGAAAAAGCATTTGACAAAATCCAACACCATTTCTTGATAAAAACTCTCAGCAAGATGGAAATAGAAAGATCATAACATAATAAAAGCCCTATATGACAAACCCATATTCAACATCATACTCAATGGGCAAAAACTAAAACCATTTCCCCTAAGAACAGGATGCCCACTCTCACCACTCCTGTTTGACATAGTATTGGAAGTACTAACCATTGAGATCAGACAAGAAGAAGAAATCAAAGGCATCCAAATTGGGGAGGGGGAGGGGAGTAAAACTGTCCTTATTCACAGATGACAACCCCAAAAACTCCATAAAAAACTACTGGAAACCCCAAGTTTAGTATAGAAAAGTCCTAAAACTCCATCAAAAACTACTGGACTGCCACTTTCTAAGTTACAGACCTCATCACTGCTCATTGGGATTACAGAAACTACTCCTATCTTGAGACTCCTGTATATCATAATTATTCTCCCAGATGAATGTCTGACTCTGATGGAAACAGTGGTCACTGAAGCCTTCAGCAATTCTGAGCAAAGAGAAATGGCTACTGGGGACACTTGAAAGTGATGGGGAGGGTAGTGAGAATTCGCCCACATGCCTTTGACATTTCTCCATACCATACCTTCTATTTCAAACACTCAAACCCCAAGCTCCATGGTGTTACTTTCCCCTCTAGACCATAGGTAGAACGAAATTTAACACAGCTAAACCTTTCCCTTAGAAGGCAATTAAAATGTAAGCCAGATTAAGATAATATCATTGGCAAGGTAATAGCTGGGTCATGTGACCTCCAATAATTCTATACAGAAAATCTGAAAGCCTATCCTTATATTCAGAATTATATTAAGTTTTAAAGTTAATTTTAAAAAGTACTGTACTACACACCATGATAAATAAAAATTCTCAAAGACGTGGTTTATTTGCCCTCCAACTGAGGGCACTCTAGTCAAATAAATATATGCCTACCGGTATTCAATGAGATATGCTATGGAAAGTCCAGAAAGTGAGTGATATGGCAGTTGAGAATCAAATTAAGTGAGTGTTTTTTTGTTTTTTCTACACTTAAATCTTACTATGCGCAGCAAACTATCAGTAGGAGCTATTGATTTTGTATCTAAAATTACCTAAAACCTGTTTTAACTGAAATCTCCCTAGTCTCCATCACAATGGGACTTCACTTTGGCTGTTGCTATTGTTCACACTGTCTCACATTTTCACAAAGCACAGCAGCCAAAACTGTTCTTTCAAAACATCACATTAATTTTAGATAAACTAGAATGTGGTAACAAATGGACTAAGCATGAACGAACAGCTCAAAAATCAGGTGCTTCTTTCTTGCTCACATGAAAGTTCAGGACAGTTCTATGCCAGCTGACAGGAGGTTAGGTTCCACACAGACATGCAGGCATCCAGGCTGGTGGTGCTCAGCCATTTCTATATGGCTCCCAGGTTTGCCCAGCCAAAAGGAGAAACAGCAGAAGGAAGCCCACATGGGAGAGTGTTATGAGCTAGCCTTGGTCCAATATTCACCACTACTACTTACTTCCATGGGTCGAGTGTACAGCTAACAGCCAAGAGGGGCAGGAAATGGAATCTGGCTGTGTGCCCGGGGAGAAAAGACAACTGGATTTTAATGAACAGATGGCCGTCTCAACCTCAAATAAAATCATGTCACTCTTTTGTCTAAAACACTTCCATTGCTTCTCACTGCACATATCCCTTAAAACCACACTCCCTACCATAGCTTTCAAGGCCTGCATCAACTAGTCCTGCCAAATAACCTCAAGCGCCCAACTGTCAACACTCCAGAATTAAGCCAAATAGCCTGTGAGTATAGAAGGAGCTATCACAAAAGCCACACCCCTTTCTCACCTCACTATTGCCCCAGAATTAGGGGCCTTTGTTCAGTTTAGGGTTTCCTTAGATGTTGTCAAGCTCTTTATAGCTTCAGGCCTTTGAAAGCCATTGATTCTGTCTAGAACTCCCTTCTCTCACCAAGCCACATATCCCTTAGCTTATTTTTTTTCCTTCTCCAGGTCTTAGCTTACTTCCCTAAAAGTGATTTTCTTACTCTCTTCCCACATAGACTAGGTGACCCCAAATAAATTAGGGCTCATCTTAGCCAATCATTCTGACTCAGGAACAGTGTGTTCTTTCTTCTCAACACAAATTCCAGGTTGTTTTACCTGAATGCCAAATTTATTGTTCCACCTCCCAAGGCACTGTCAGTTCTGGAAGAATTCTTATCTATCTTAATTCATCTTTGTCTCCTTAACCACCAGCACAATGGCTGGCACAAAGTATCTTTTTTATGAAAAATTACGTGAATGAATGATTTAGGGAGGGGATAAAGAATTTTTAGGGAATTGTGGTGGTCTTGAAAAGGTGAAAGGATTGTCATGCTGGTGGTGTGACAGAAGGCATTAGGAGTCAGACAGCTCAGGCTTGAGCAAAGAATATGAAGTGCAAAAGCCCAAGACATGCTTGAGGACAGTGAATATCCTATTCACTCAGAGAACTGCAGGGCAGTTCTGGAAAACAAGGGTATGGAGAACTTATATTACCTCAACCTACTATATAGGAAAGTGACAAAATCTGAACTCCTGACTGTGGCCTACAAAGCCCTATATGGCCTGGCCTTATGGGTCTTTCAGGCTTTCAATGCTTTATACCTTGCTCTTTCTGCAC